GTCATACTCCAAATCAAGTATAAAGCCATCATTGAGTAAATCTCACATATCCCAAATCAAAGTATAAACAGCCATCATTTTGCAAATCGAACTCTGCCTTTGCCGGTCCCAAGCCCGGATGTAAAAGGAGGAGGGGGAGCAGTAACAAGCTTGGTAAAAAACCTGTGCTCAGCTGGCCCGGCTGATAGTACCCTGTAAGGGCTCCTGGGATACAGGATGAGTCTGTACTCCATGCTAGGAGCGGCTGCACATGGTGTCTGTTCCTCATGTCAGAGGCGGCCATTTCTTTTAGAGCAAAGTCGGCCTGCTACTGAGTAGTGCTCCCAGTCTTAATGACAAAGGCATTCTACTTCACCCAGATATGATTGAGTGGAACTAAGAAAGAAGAAAAAGAATATTTTGCAAATCTCACCCTTCCGTGCTTACTCTCAGCTGTGATTTCTCCTGTTGAAGAGGGAGAGCTCGAAAGCTTGCAGTGTTTTGTAATAAAGAAACTTATTGTGGAAGCGAGGGTTTTTTTTTACATTTTTACAAGAGAGAGGTATGTCCCACTCACCGTAGGTACGGTCCTTGAACTCCAAAGCAGCTCTCCTGATAATTCTCTCCCTCAGGAGCTCTGAAGGCTTTTTCACTCGGCTGCTGTCAGACTTGGGGTCTTTCCACAGCATCAGTTTCTGACCCATACAAAAGTTAACGATATTAGGTGATAGTAAGAATTCAAAACTATTATAGACACGTATGATTCTTTTAAAAATTAAACAATTATCTACTGCCCTCATCAGTGGTGAAAAACAGCTGGGAGAGTTCACCACTGATGAGCCAGGCCCTCCCATCAATTTTTCATTGCAGTAAGGGCAGTAGATAATTGTTTAATATTTGAAAGATTCATAAGCGTCTATATTAGTTTTGAATTCTCATAACAGATGGAACGCTAATGTATCATATTAGGAGATAATATGGAGTGGGTGAGGACTCACCTCTATTCTCTTCTGGTAGTTCTTCCCTAGCACCACTCTGTTGACGTAGATCTGGGGCACGTGGACCTGGTCTGGGGGCAGCTCTCCCACCTCTACTATCTCCTCCACCTGCACTGGTCACTGGTATCTTCTTGGAGAACATTGGCGCGCTATGGGGGGGTTTATTACATTCTCACACTACAGTAAAGCTTATCGATAAGGCACAATTTGGATTATAGATTATAAACACAAGGTAATAAGACCAAATCTAAATAAATAAATAGTGTGAGACGTTTCGGTAACAACGCTGTTACCATCTTCAGACAAAAGTACTGAATGAGAAATTTTACCACAGCATGTTTACACACTTGATAACAGTAACTCTTTAAAAACATGCTGTGGTAAAATTTCTCATTCAGTACTTTTGTCTGAAGATGGTAACAACGCTGAAACGTCAGACACTATTTATTTATTTGGTCTTATTACCTTGTGTTTAGTAAAGCTTATCTTGAGTTTCCATTTGGAAAACTAGTACAAAAATGACATTGTACTGAGATCAGGTGAATAATTAAGACACTTCCTGATCCTGTAACTAAATGTGTAGACACATGTGTAGACATGTGGTGCACTTACAGTAAAAGCAGTCGCCTGCTCATACCCACCATGATTATCATGGCCTGTACCATGTGTTGTTGTTGTTGTTTCTTATCCCCTTGTGTAAGATTACACAAATTCTATGATCTCATGGAATGGGGTGTAGGGATGCAGCTTTTGTTGATCATGGCACCATGATCCAGTCACACTTTGATGAAAGTCTGACTTTGCCTGTAGTTTGAGGCCGTTCCTAACATGGAAGCCTTTGCTGCTGACTCTAACATGAGTACAGATGCAGCTCCTCCGTATCCCTGGAGTGGGACCCTTGCTGAGGTCTATCAACCAGGTCAGTTGAAGATAGGATTTTTAAAGAGGTCTACTCCTCTTCTAACAATGCTGCTGTTGTGGTCCGCAACTGCTTATTTGTCAAAGTAATTCTGCTTGTTTCTCAGCTGGCTTTCATATCTGAAGGTCATTCCCCTATCTGCCACCTGGGGACGCGCCCTATAGCAGTCAGCTCTGCCAAGGGTTACCACGTGTACTAGGGATAAGCAAAAAAAAAATGCAACTAAAACTAGTTGCATGATCAGGGAAGGCCTTCTTCTTCTTTCTTAGTTTCTATTTGATTCCAGGCAAAAATACATTCGCAAGGCTGACTCTTAAGATTAAAAGATAAAATTGTTATAATAAACCTAAAAATATTCTTTCTTATGCAAATTCAATGATGCTCTTAATATATTGGATATTCAAGAGATTTAGATTTTAGGGACTTGAAAAAATGTGGGCATGAATGGTTAGATGTACATACATGTTTAGATATACAGTAGTACCTCCCTGTAAAGGACATCTAATTGCAGAGCCAAAGTGTCCTTTAGGGAGAGGTGTCCTCTTACCGGAGAGTTTCTAAATTGTACAAATGGTAATTTTGCAAATGAAAACTGTCCTTTGTAGAGAGGTGTCTTCTAGCTCGAGTGTCCTCTCATGAAGGTTCTACTGCATAAGGAAACTGAATTATTGGGAAAACAGAGTTCTTTATAACCTAATATATTTGCTGTCTAAGGTCAAGTAGAAGAAATGTCTCACCTCAGCAATGGTGAACTGGGCTGCCTTACACATGGGGATGTTGAAGTTCTGGGCAGACTTCCTGCATCCTCCACTGTAGCAGCCAGCAGTGGGAGATATGGCGACAAGACATACCTGAAGATGAGGTTACCCGCCTTGTCAGCCTTCCAGGCCTTTACAAGAGCAAAGTCCCCGGTGATGGCTTCCTCCAGTATGTAGTTCCTGCCATTGAACATGCGATCCTGGCACACAACAACATGTGTGAGGCTGACAGTGTGGAACAAGTCTCCCTAGAGAACAATCTCTGGAATATTTTACTATAATTCAACTCCTGAAAGTCTGCTTTCTTATACAGTTGTTCTTTACAGGGAGGTATTACTGTACATTAAGAAAACAAACATGAACAGGAGATTTCTGCCTCGGATGAACCAACCCTTTCCAGTATTTTTTCATCTTTTGTCTAGTAGCCCATCACCTACTTGATGCCCAGAACAACCAACTTGGTAAAATCGAAAATGACTTAAACTAATCAAATTCCTAATGAGTGTCCCATCCAGAGGAGAACAATCTACCATCCATCTAGACGAAAGAAACCTCCTCCATACCATCAAGACCCAATGTCAGCAAGAATGGAAGTCTAATGCTGTACATGACTGGTGGAGGAACAAGCATCAATTCTATCCTCCTCAAGGGAACAGCATTCCTTGATTTCCATACTTAAGTCTGGTCATCTACAGACAATGTCTTTCTAGAATGGCTGCAAGGTTTTCCCACTATGTAATAAGTGCAATTCTCAACCTGAAACTTCAAACCACATCATTGACTGTATTGGCTCATCCATTGGTGAGCTCTACTCATTCCCAGTAGACACCATCTCAAGTTCAACAGACATGTGTTCTGGAGCTGCAGGTGCCAAGCTACATTTTTGAGTCTTACTCTATTTATAAACATGTTCTCCTTGGCAGAGCTGACTGCTATAGGGCGCGTCCCCAGGTGGCGGATAGGGGAACGACCTTCAGATATGAAGGCCAGCTGCGAAACAAGCAGAATAACTCTGACAAATAAGCAGTCGCGGACCAACAGCAGCATTGTTTGAAGAGGAGAAAACCTCTTTAAAAATCCTGACTTCAACTGACCCGGGTTGATGGACCTCAGCAAGGGTCCCACTCCAGGGATACGGAGGAGCTGTGTCTGTACTCATGTTAGAGTCGGCAGCAAAGGCGTCTGCTTCCATGTTAGGAACGGCCTCAAACTACAGGCAAAGTCAGACTTTCACCAAAGTGTGCCTGGATCATGGTGCCATGATCAACGAAAGCTGCACCCCTATACCCCATTCCATGAGATCAGCTCGAGGAGCATGAACTCAAGGAATTCGTGTAATCTTTACACAAGGGGATAAGAAACAACAACAACATAAACATGTTCCCTCAATTCTCCTTTAGTGAAATGGACCTTACTAAAGAACAGATTCTCTGCACAAGAAGAAAGGATCCCACTCACCTCCTTGGAGTTGCTGGCCAGGAGAATCTTCCCCTCAGGGCCGTACTTGATGGGGGCCCCTCCCTCATGGATCAGGGTGCCATAGGCTGTGGGGGTGTAGAAGGCTGGGATGCCGGCCCCTCCTGCCCGTATTCTCTCTGCCAGAGTGCCCTGCAGCCCCACACATGTCCACATAGCTTCTTTCAATCAAAATGTTGTACAGGGATGTGTGCATAAAGATGTAACCACATGTACGAATTGACCAGTACACTCATGGACAAAACTTGAGAAAGTGGAAAATCTTCATGGTGTCATCAGTCATCTATATATATATATATATATAAAGATACAAAGGTCGCCTCTCCCGTCAAAACCCTATGCCATCTATTGACCGTCGCCAACGAGGGCCATTAGCCCGAAACCATGGTCTCTAGGTGGACGCTTTTCAGTTTGCCAAAGCTGGTGTTGTGGCTTTGTCACTGACCCGAGGTCGCTAGTTTGCAGCGACGGTCAATAGATGGCATCAGGTTTTGACATCTATTTTGACGGGAGAGGTGACCTTTGTCTCTTTAGATCATAATCCTCCCGGCAAAATTTCCATCTATTTATTTATTTTTTTTTTTGACGGAGTCAGAGACAATTTTATTCACACTTGGTTATCTTGTGTGTCTTCAATAAAGGTCACTATAATATCTTTTAGATTTATTGTCTGAATCCCGATATACATGCTCAGATAATAACTCTGAAAGATATTTGATACACAGTGACCTTTATTGAAGACATACGAGATAACCAAGTGTGAGCCAAGTCTGAATCTCAATATATATACTAAAAGGTACAACTTTGAACATCTGACTTCTTCATTGGACATGACAACATGGTACAACATCCTTAAGTTTTGTTCATGAGGGTCCAGGGTAGCCTAGTGGACATGGCATCTGCCCGGTAAGCAGAACATTATGGGTTCGATTCTCAAGAGTGTATTTACCTTTAATTTAAACACCCAACCAAAAATATGCAAAAATTTCACTCCTCCAAAAGGCTATTTAGCAATGTTGTACTCTGAAATACTCAGGGCAGTGAGAAAACAACTCCACTTGGAATTGTATTATCCCTAGCTTTCTCTACATTCCACAAGCTTCAGTTTAAATGGTAACTTTGCTGTGTGATCCAGGTTCTCTGAATCTCTAATAATTAGTTCAGGGCTTGTTTAAAATAGTTTGTGACTGGTTTCTGATAGTTTAGAATTTGTTCATTGGGGGTAGGTGGAAGGATGGTCTAAACCAGGCCTGGCCAACCCGCAGCCCTCGTGCCGCATGCGGCCGGCCGTAAAAAAATTTGCGGCTCGCCATTTAACTTTATATTTCTTTTGTAACTTTCATTTCTCGTCTCTATATTCAAAAACAGAAAATATATTGAAATAATTATAATATTTTTTTTATTAAAAAAAATACAATTTTTTTAGACCTTGTTTACGATTCCGTGCGGCCTGTGGCGTTATTTAGGTTGGCCAGAGCTGGTCTAAACCGTTGGTTTTTGACCGCTACGACCCGGGTTTGATTCCCACATTGGGCACTTTTTTCTGAATTAAAATAAAAATGCTCCGATGGCCCCCGATTCTTGCAAAAGTCCAACCCCACCAGCGAGTGCAAGTTACCAAACAGAGCTCTGGCACATTTGTAAGTACAAAGTCGAACTGCTTTTCACATGTGTAGACATGTGATGCACTTACAGTAAAAGCAGTCGCCAACTTCTACCCACCATGATTATCATGGCCTGTACCACGTGTACAAAAAGAAAGCAAAAAGAAAAAAAAAAAGGATTTTTCCATGGCAAACTAGTTTTAAACTAGCATAGACAACAAGTCATAAACTATATGAACAATGACACCAAGTCATAAATAATTGCATAAAAGCCATAAAAAGGCATAGGCAAGTCAAAAAATAATTATAGTCATAATCATAAACTATCATAGAAAATCTGTCCCCCTTGCTCAAAGTTTACAACAAATTCAACGAGTCCATGCTCTGATCTCATGGAATGGGGTGTAGGGGTGCAGCTTTCATTGATCATGGCACCATGATCCAGGAATGATTTGGTGAAAGTCTGACTTTGCCTGTAGTTTGAGGCTATTCCTAACATGGAAGCCTTTACTGCCAACTCTAACATGAATACAGACCTCCGTATCCCTGGAAAGGAACCCTTGCTGAGGTCTATCAACCAGGTCAGTTGAACTCAAAGTTTTTTAAAGAGGTATTTCTCCTCTTTCTAACAATGTTGCTGTTGGTCCACAACTGCTTATTCATCAGAGTTATTCTGCTTGTTTCACAGCTGGCCTTCATATCTGAAGGTTGTTCCCCAATCTTCCACCTGGGGACACACCCTGTAGCAATCAGCTTTGTGCTGAGGGATAGAAAATCCAAGCAGTTTATGACATACTGAAGATAAATTAGGAATTGATTACAAAATTTTATGATGATTGCCTCATGGCAGAAATAGACAGCACCAAACAACACTAACAAGTTTTAGAACAGGCCATCTAAAGTCATTGGAGATAGAAAATAATAACAAAATCTACCCCACTTGCCCAAAATGTAGCTTGGAACCTGCAGCTCCAGAATGCATTTTGTTGTTGTTGTTTCTTATCCCTTTGTGTAAAGATGACACGAATTCCATGAGTTCATGCTCCTCCAGCTGTAGAGAATACATTTTGGCTTGCAATAGATGCACTAAACAGGACCTTTGGAAGAGTCCACTGCTTATCATAAAACAGCTCGAGGAGCATGAACTCATGGAATTTGTGTAATATTTACACAAGGGGATAAGAAACAACAACATGATGATTGCCTTAATTAGATATATTGATGGATTAAGTTGGCTGCATAGTTTTTATTACATTTTTTTCTTCGCCCTGGAATATAGGACTGTTTCTCAGATAAATGATTTCTATAGATTTTTTTAAATCCCTCCCCATCCCCTGGTTTAATATACCACTGTATATACATATAAAATGAAAGGATTTAAAAACACGAATGTTTCTTTTATACATAATACAAACTTCTACTGTCCTTACTGCGATGAAAAAATATGTATTGGGAGGGTTCACCACTGATGAGCCAAACCCTCCCAACATATTTTTTCATCGCAGTAAGGACAGTAGAAGTTTGTATTATGTATAAAAGAAACATTCGTGTTTTTAAATCCTTTCATTTTATATGTATAGATGGCGCGTTATTGCTTTGTGTTAATTCCACTGTATGTACCAACTAAACATTGCAGAATTTAGAAGGAAGAAACACAGGTTAGGAATAAAAGCTTCTTCTCTCTCTTCTCTTCTTTCTTATCTCCACTCAATCACACTAAGGTATCAAGCTTGTAAAGCTTGTTGATGGTGTCTGCCGGGGAAGAGTAGAGCTCATCAATGGAGGAGTCAATACAGTCAATAATATGTCTTGGAGTTGCAGGCTGAGAATGGCACAATCCTATTTCTCTTTTCTTCTTTCTTATCTCCACTCAATCACACTAAGGTATCAAGCTTGTAAAGCTTGTTGATGGTGTCTGCCGGGGAAGAGTAGAGCTCATCAATGGAGGAGTCAATACAGTCAATAATATGTCTTGGAGTTGCAGGCTGAGAATGGCACAATCCTATTTCTCTTTTCTTCTTTCTTATCTCCACTCAATCACACTAAGGTATCAAGCTTGTAAAGCTTGTTGATGGTGTCTGCCGGGGAAGAGTAGAGCTCATCAATGGAGGAGTCAATACAGTCAATAATATGTCTTGGAGTTGCAGGCTGAGAATGGCACAATCCTATTTCTCTTTTCTTCTTTCTTATCTCCACTCAATCACACTAAGGTATCAAGCTTGTAAAGCTTGTTGATGGTGTCTGCCGGGGAAGAGTAGAGCTCATCAATGGAGGAGTCAATACAGTCAATAATATGTCTTGGAGTTGCAGGCTGAGAATGGCACAATCCTATTTCTCTTTTCTTCTTTCTTATCTCCACTCAATCACACTAAGGTATCAAGCTTGTAAAGCTTGTTGATGGTGTCTGCCGGGGAAGAGTAGAGCTCATCAATGGAGGAGTCAATAATATGTCTTGGAGTTGCAGGCTGAGAATGGCACAATCCTATTTCTCTTTTCTTCTTTCTTATCTCCACTCAATCACACTAAGGTATCAAGCTTGTAAAGCTTGTTGATGGTGTCTGCCGGGGAAGAGTAGAGCTCATCAATGGAGGAGTCAATACAGTCAATAATATGTCTTGGAGTTGCAGGCTGAGAATGGCACAATCCTATTTCTCTTTTCTTCTTTCTTATCTCCACTCAATCACACTAAGGTATCAAGCTTGTAAAGCTTGTTGATGGTGTCTGCCGGGGAAGAGTAGAGCTCATCAATGGAGGAGTCAATAATATGTCTTGGAGTTGCAGGCTGAGAATGGCACAATCCTATTTCTCTTTTCTTCTTTCTTATCTCCACTCAATCACACTAAGGTATCAAGCTTGTAAAGCTTGTTGATGGTGTCTGCCGGGGAAGAGTAGAGCTCATCAATGGAGGAGTCAATACAGTCAATAATATGTCTTGGAGTTGCAGGCTGAGAATGGCACAATCCTATTTCTCTTTTCTTCTTTCTTATCTCCACTCAATCACACTAAGGTATCAAGCTTGTAAAGCTTGTTGATGGTGTCTGCCGGGGAAGAGTAGAGCTCATCAATGGAGGAGTCAATACAGTCAATAATATGTCTTGGAGTTGCAGGCTGAGAATGGCACAATCCTATTTCTCTTTTCTTCTTTCTTATCTCCACTCAATCACACTAAGGTATCAAGCTTGTAAAGCTTGTTGATGGTGTCTGCCGGGGAAGAGTAGAGCTCATCAATGGAGGAGTCAATAATATGTCTTGGAGTTGCAGGCTGAGAATGGCACAATCCTATTTCTCTTTTCTTCTTTCTTATCTCCACTCAATCACACTAAGGTATCAAGCTTGTAAAGCTTGTTGATGGTGTCTGCCGGGGAAGAGTAGAGCTCATCAATGGAGGAGTCAATACAGTCAATAATATGTCTTGGAGTTGCAGGCTGAGAATGGCACAATCCTATTTCTCTTTTCTTCTTTCTTATCTCCACTCAATCACACTAAGGTATCAAGCTTGTAAAGCTTGTTGATGGTGTCTGCCGGGGAAGAGTAGAGCTCATCAATGGAGGAGTCAATACAGTCAATAATATGTCTTGGAGTTGCAGGCTGAGAATGGCACAATCCTATTTCTCTTTTCTTCTTTCTTATCTCCACTCAATCACACTAAGGTATCAAGCTTGTAAAGCTTGTTGATGGTGTCTGCCGGGGAAGAGTAGAGCTCATCAATGGAGGAGTCAATACAGTCAATAATATGTCTTGGAGTTGCAGGCTGAGAATGGCACAATCCTATTTCTCTTTTCTTCTTTCTTATCTCCACTCAATCACACTAAGGTATCAAGCTTGTAAAGCTTGTTGATGGTGTCTGCCGGGGAAGAGTAGAGCTCATCAATGGAGGAGTCAATAATATGTCTTGGAGTTGCAGGCTGAGAATGGCACAATCCTATTTCTCTTTTCTTCTTTCTTATCTCCACTCAATCACACTAAGGTATCAAGCTTGTAAAGCTTGTTGATGGTGTCTGCCGGGGAAGAGTAGAGCTCATCAATGGAGGAGTCAATACAGTCAATAATATGTCTTGGAGTTGCAGGCTGAGAATGGCACAATCCTATTTCTCTTTTCTTCTTTCTTATCTCCACTCAATCACACTAAGGTATCAAGCTTGTAAAGCTTGTTGATGGTGTCTGCCGGGGAAGAGTAGAGCTCATCAATGGAGGAGTCAATAATATGTCTTGGAGTTGCAGGCTGAGAATGGCACAATCCTATTTCTCTTTTCTTCTTTCTTATCTCCACTCAATCACACTAAGGTATCAAGCTTGTAAAGCTTGTTGATGGTGTCTGCCGGGGAAGAGTAGAGCTCATCAATGGAG